TTTCCAAGAATGTCACTGTACTGCAAATAACTAGAAGATCTTTGGTGCAGGTTGAGTATGCAGTTGAGTCTTGCACTGCTACCGATGCAGCTGTTAATGGGTGCATTGACATCAAAAGAAATAGCCTCACCATGCCAACTGGTGGTTATGTCATCTATGCTGTTGCTCACCAGCATGCTGGTGGGATAGGTTCAACTCTGTATGGACAGGTTATTTTCAGCCTATTTATGATTACATGTTCTCGTTTTTTCTGCATCTTTTTTACCCTCTTTCATATCTGGTTGGCCATTGAAAGTTCCTTAGAAATGCTATTGAAGTAAACTATCATCTTATTATCTTTGTAATGACGTTCGGAAATTACAGTTTTCTGCCAAAGTTTGTCGCTGTAACTTCCAGAAGCATAATCCTTTCCCATAGCAGCATAAGGGAACCTTCTTCAATTTGTCTGTTATGTCTGATTTCACTGTTCCAGAGGCTAGTTTGGAATGTTATCTGTTTATTACTGCAACATCTATTACTAACTTCATGTCATCGTTGATCAAGTTGAATAACATCCGGCTCAAATGATCTTTTTATATGATGAATTCAGGATGGGAACGTCATATGCACTTCGATACCAATTTATGGAAATGGAAATGAAGCAGGAAACGAGGATGGTTACATTGTAGGAATGTCCTCCTGTTATCCCAAACCAGGTTCTGTCAAGTTAACAGCTGGGGAGAATCTAGCTCTGGAATCTAACTACAACAGCACTAATAAGCACACAGGAGTCATGGGGCTCTTCTACATTTACGTAGCAGAACAAGCACCAAATGTGACTTTCTCACAAGCTCGTGTTCAGGTAAGTTTTTGTTCAATCTTCAGCTAGTGATTTCTTTTTCAGTATAAAAGCAGTCGGGTAACTAAGACAGGATTATCCAATTTGGGGCAGGAATTCTCGAGAAAAAAAGAATGCTTTTAATGTTAAGAACATGTAACCTCTAATTGTTTTCTTGAATCCTGCAGATGCATGAAAGCATTAAAGTAAAAAAATACGCTTGGTCAATTGTGGTTTTCATTGGACTGGCTTTGACTATTGCTGTTGCTGTTGCTGTTGCTGTGCATTCCTGGCTGAAGAAAAGGAGAGAAGGTAGCTACAAACCAGTTCCTAAATAAGGCTGTAACTTGTGTTGTGTTTCCATGAGCTGTGTGCTGCATCTCTACAGCCAGCGCTGTTATCATCATACCATATTATACGAATGTATGCTTACTTTAAGCATAAGCATTCCAGTCTTTCCCTCGCTAAAACTTTTATGGCCTGTAAATGTCATTTTAGAATGAGTTGATGCCGCAATGCGATAGCCTTCATGCAGAGTGGCTTTGATTTATACATTCCCTACTTTGCAAGGGTGCAAGTTCAACTCTTGAACAGTAACCGCCATGGAATTTGGTGGGCTTTACTTAGGTTCAGAGACCAGCATATTGACTTTTGACTTCTTCTTTTTTTGACCGAGTCTGAAAGGCTACAATCCATGCCCTAACATTCACCATTACAATATACCTGAAGAAAAAAATTTCGAAGGAAAATAAATTTTCTTGAGAGTCGTATTGATCTACCCAGCGTTGAGATAAATGGTTATTATGAATAATTAAATATAAATTTATCATAACTAGATGAGTATTTTTCACATATAAATTATACGGATAGACTAATATATCTATTTAAAAACTAGTAAGATAAAATTTAGTTCAAAAAAATTAAAAAAATAATTTTAAAAAATTATAATTTTTTATTTAACTGTTTGATGATATTTTAATTTTTATAGAAATTTTTAGATTATGTTTTCCGATAATAGCACCTACAACACCACATTGACTATCAATTCTTTAAATATCAAAAACTTTTTTCTAGCTCTAGTTTGGGCTGTTTTTGTTTTTGTTTTTTTAAATTATTTTGGTTTTAGACATTGATTTGGATTTTATGATTATTTTTTTATTTTTTTATTTTTTTCTAATTAAAATAAGGTTCATGGCCTAATTAAAATCTTGTAAACTTTCTAAGCGGTCAGACTGCATGAGCATTTTTTTCAATAGAAAATAAAGTTACAAATTTGAGGTCCATATACGCATTCCTTTTTACTTATTAGAACTCATGTGTACTGTGTTTGTTTGATGCTTTCAGCTACCTCCCTCTTTTAGCCCACCACTCCAGTGTGAATTTTATTATTTATGTTTGTCATCTTGTGCTGTTTTATATATTTATTGTACTTGTAAAATGTCTAGTAAATCGTGGAATTAATTATAATATATGTAAACTAATCTGGACATTTATATAAATAAAAAAAATTATTTCATCGTTACTTACCTTAAGACTATATTTTCCTGAAAAAACAATCATACTTTAAAGTAATTTGACCTCATATTTTGATAGATTTTCCAATACCATTTACGGTATTGGTAAGCTGTAATAGGAATAGCAGGGCATAAGATTCTCAAATTCCAAGGTTTTAAATGAGAAAAGATGTAAATTATGATAAGTCAAGCCTAAAAAGTCTTGTATTAATTACTTTGATACATGAACCAAAATGAATAATGTCCTAGGGCGGTCCATACGGTCAACGGCCGTCAAATGGCCGCAGAAGCCCAAAATAGAAGTATTTCCCCCCTCACTTTCAGGATGTGAAGTGGAAAGAAACAGGACAGGGAAAACATTAAGATGTTCAGACTCCTAAGAAAATATCTCGCGAGTTAGGATCTCTTCGGTCTAGTTGTGACCTTTGTGATTGTAAAAAAGTGTCTGATAATTCATGTTTTTAGAATATTTTTAGATTATAAAATATTTAAATTCCGAATACTTCATTTTGTAGTTTTTAAAAAAAAAAATCATGAAAATCTTTTTGAAAATGTTATCTAATACTTGTTTTTCTCATTTGGTTCAAAAACTCAAAAATTCACAAATAAGCCGAAACAAAATGAAGTTTACCACGTAATTAGATTAATCCATGAATTAAATGTTAATAAAAAGCAACATCAACATGCTTTTACTGAGTTGTAAACTCAATCTAAGTAAAAAAAAATATTATTTTTTTTACATGAAATAAAATTATTAATTCTGTTTTATTTTATCTAAAATGCTGAAACATTTCATATTAATTTAAAAAATAAAATAATTTTCATTTCATTTCAAATCTCGATCCGTTTCAAATTTTTTGTCTAAATTTTGGCTGTAATATTCCGGTTTTATTTCACATATTCTGTTTTGATTTTAAAAAGTCATTGAATCAAATTAAATCATCCAAGTATAAAAAACTTTTTTCATTACTATTTTCAATAACAATAATATTAATAATAATATTGAAAATTATTATTAATATTTTCATTAACAATTATATTATTTTTTTAAAATTAGATTTATCACTAATATATATAGTTTGTATTCATTTTGTTTTTTTCAAATTTATACTTTGTAAAAATTTGAGCAAAACAATAAATATTTTAGATCTCATTAGTCTTGATAACATTGACCTAGTTTTATATTTAAAATATTTTGATATTTTTATTTAAATTAAATTACTTTAAGTTAAAGATTTATTTAATCTTAATTATTTAAAAATATTTTAAATTTTAAATTTATATTTATTTGACATTTTATTTGTATTGTATAATTTATAATTAATTTATCTCAAATTTGAATTATATTTGTTCAATATATATAAATATATGAACATAACCCTAAAATGACATGACAAAACACTGTAAAACTAAAATATTTCATTTTAATTTAAAAAATAAAATATTTATCAAAACGGAATTGATAACCTTGACATGAAACCTTCATTAACTTTCAACAAAATTAGTATTTTTTTTTTATTGTTGTTGTTTCAATGTATTACTATTGTCATGCAAATCAAGAAAAAACTTGGTGTGTTCTATTGTATTTTAAATTACAATATTAAAATAAAATATCATATTTTAAAATGTTGTCAATGGTCTGGTATCATATAATGATAAGACTATCATATTAATTAAAAAGAGAAGCAGTTAGTTATTTGTCTGATTTAAATATGTTTGCTATTGATTTAAATGTGTTTGCTGCTTTAGAAGGTAGCATTTTTTAACAAAAGAAAGAAGATAAAATTGAGAGAAAGAAAGGAAATTAAGGCAGCTATATTGTATATCTTTATTTTTTTTCAGCTTGTTAACCGTTGGATCGGGCTGAAATTTGAATAGCAGCTTTTAGATACATTACTCTTTATTTTGAATGGTTGGATTGAAAATTAATCATATAAAAATTGACCGTTTTAACAGAAAACAGGGTTGTTAGTGTTGTGAGTTTTTCTCAAAAACTTCTCTCTTTGATCTTGTTACATTTCAAGAATAAATTATTCTTAATGATATGTATGTTATAACCCTTAGTTGAATCTAAGCAAAAACAGTTGTGAACTCATTATTTATTGATTGTGTAATTTTTTAGGTGGACTATGATCCCGTAATTTTTTCTATATCAGGTTTTTTATATAAAAATCTTGATGTTAATTTGTGTGATTGTTTATATTATCTTGTTCATTATTTGATCATGATTTTGATTGCACAAAGAGAGAAAAGTATTTGGACTTGTAAATTATAAATTATATTCTGCTAAATTGGTGTTTGGTTGTTTTTAGTTTTCCAACACAGATCATCTTGCCTTAGATTCTTCAATACCTTAGTAACAGGATATAAAATTTTAAAACACCTTAACCTGATATCATAAACAATCTTGTCTAGTTTTAGATCAATTAAACTATCCAAACACTACCTTATTAGTCCTCCAGTACTCTATTCCTTAAGATAAATATCAGGAAAAATCTTCTCTTTGAAAAGGTATTAGATAATTCATTGACAAGTTCACTTGTGTATTATTTAAATACAAATGTTTTTCTCTATCAAAGGAGAGATTTTACTCATAAATTTTCAAAAAAAAAAGGGACATGAAATCCGAAGTCAACTACTCTATCAAAGTCATTTCTCTGTAAACTCAAGAAATCTTTATCGAGATGACTCAGTCAAAAGAGCAAACAAATTAAAATAGTCTAAAGAAAGAAAGCATGTGGCACTAGACGTCATGGCTTAGGCAGT